CCTCCGACTCTGAGGAACACACACACACACACTCTTACTGAACGCCTGCCCCTCCGACTCTGAGGAACACACACACACACACTCTTACTGAACGCCTGCGCCTCCGACTCTGAGGAACACACACACACACACACTCTTACTGAACGCCTGCGCCTCCAACTCTGAGGAACACACACACACACTCTTACTGAACGCCTGCGACTCTGAGGAACACACACACACACACACACACACACTGAACGCCTGCGCCTCCGACTGTGAGGAACACACACACACACACACACACACACACACACACACACACTGAACGCCTGCGCCTCCGACTGTGAGGAACACACACACACACACACACACACACACACACACACACACTGAACGCCTGCGCCTCCGACTCTGAGGAACACACACACACACACACTCTTACTGAACGCCTGCGCCTCCGACTCTGAGGAACACACACACACACACTCTTACTGAACGCCTGCGCCTCCGACTCTGAGGAACACACACACACACACTCTTACTGAACGCCTGCGCCTCCGACTCTGAGGAACACACACACACACACACTCTTACTGAACGCCTGCGCCTCCGACTCTGAGGAACACACACACACACTCTTACTGAACGCCTGCGCCTCCGACTCTGAGGAACACACACACACACACTCTTACTGAACGCCTGCGCCTCCGACTCTGAGGAACACACACACACACACACTCTTACTGAACGCCTGCGCCTCCGACTCTGAGGAACACACACACACACTCTTACTGAACGCCTGCGCCTCCGACTCTGAGGAACACACACACACACACTCTTACTGAACGCCTGCGCCTCCGACTCTGAGGAACACACACACACACTCTTACTAAACGCCTGCGCCTCCGACTCTGAGGAACACACACACACACACTCTTACTGAACGCCTGCGACTCTGAGGAACACACACACACACACACACACACACACACTGAACGCCTGCGCCTCCGACTGTGAGGAACACACACACACACACACACACACACACACACACTGAACGCCTGCGCCTCCGACTGTGAGGAACACACACACACACACACACGCACTCTTGTACATCTATCTTTATGAGGACATTCACTGACACAATGCAATCTCTAGCCGCTTACCCTAACCTTACTCATCACAACTAAATGCTTAACCCGAACCCTTACCCTAAACCTACCCTTAACCTAATTATAACCTTATCCCTGAAACCAAGTCTTGACCCTCAAACAGGCCTTTAAAGGGGTCTCAGAAAGTGAGGACCGGCCAAAATGTCCTCACTTTACTCTCTTTGTCCTCACTCCAATGGTCTAAAACTCAAACTGGTCCTCACAAAGATAGTCGTACAAGTACACACACACACACACACACACACACACACACACACTGCAAAGATTCCCGTCTGATCCTCTAATCCACGGAGTCACAGACTTTAGTGAGCCGAACCACTTATAGACTATAAAAAGAATGTGATGTATAACGACAAACTTAGTTCTAATCTGCCATTAGACATTTCTGCGCCTCCACCACTCACTCCTTCCTCTCAACTAAACCTTAAACATTTCTTAAAAAATACACAATACAAACAAAATATTACATCTTTTTCAGTTTTTATTGAAAAATTTTGTATTTTAATTTTACACTTTAATTATTAGCTTTTCATCACTCATGAACACTTCAGTGTTTTATTTTTTATTGTTTTCATTTTTAAATTATTTATTTATTAATAAAAGAATCAAAAGAAAACACAAGTGTTCATGAGTGATGAAAAGCTAATAATTAAAGAAATCATAAATGTAAAATGAAAATAAATAAAAAATTTTATTTATTTTCGGCAGCAGTGGCTCAGTGGTTCATGTGGGTTGTCTACAAACCGGAAGGTTGGTGGTTCAATCCTCGGTTCCACCTGACCAAGTGTCGAGGTGTCCATGAGCAAGACTCCTAACCCCAGCTGCTCCCGACGAGCTGGATGGCGCCTTGCATGGCTGCCGTCGCCCGTCGGTGTATGAATGAGTGAGTGAATGGGTGAATGTGAGGCAAATTGTAAAGCGCTTTGGTGGCTATTGGGTCAGTGAAAGCGCTATATAAATGCAGTCCATTTACCATTACCATTTACCAAATAACTTAAAAATAAAAACAGTAAAAAATAACTTACAAAAGTGTTTATGATGGATGAAAATACAAAACATATGTAAAAAAAATAATAAAAACAATCACGAACACTTTATTTTTTGTTTTTATTTTTACATTATTTTATTTTTTTAAATGTAATTTTAACCATTTATTTATATATTTGATTTTTAATTTAATTTTAATCATTTTTATGATTGAATAATTACCTTTTAATCAGCTCACGAACATTTTGGTAAACATTTTATTTATAAAAAACTTATTTACATTTTTGTGATTTAATTATTAGCAAATTTTTTATCGACTCATAAAAACCCCTGCACTAGTTCCCATTTTTCCAATTTTCAAAAAAATACAAACCTGCCCCATTCACTAAGCAACATCACACAGACACTCTTGCTCGTTTGATATGCCCTTAATATATCATATAATAAAACGTGGCATATACTATAAAAACATTTGTGTGTTGTGGCATTCCCCAGCTAACCTCTCGGGACATCAAACAGGAAAGCCTTTAATAAACGCTCGAATGAATCCTCCAGCGCCTCGGACTGTTGATGTTATTTCTCCGGGACGTCGGAGCGCAGCGGGAGCGTCTGCATTCCAGCACACATTACATTTCTGATCCGGGAGCAGTGCGAGCTGCACACATCACTGGCAGAGGTGCATTCTGGGAGAAGCCCCATTTCTCACCATGATAGAGCAGCTAAAGGAGCCGGAAGAGTGAGACCTTCACTTCCCACTTGAAACACAGCGTTTCAGGGTTTGGAAAGCTGTAAAGTAAAAGATTTCTAGGCGACTGATCAAACGTGAGGAAATGCGGGTCATTGATCATCATGTGACTCTTCGAAACGTGCTCGCAAATGAGAAGTGCATGAAAACGAAAATCTATAGACTTGATATTCAATTAAAAAATAACAACACAAAAATTGCATATTATTTTTAGTTGATAAAATGATGCCAATGTGGATATTAATTAGGGCTGAGCAATATAGCTAAAAATGTATCACGATATAATGTTTCATATCGTTCGGTATCAATAATTATTGACATTTTTTATGACATTTTTTTTTAAAGACAAGTAGAAAAGTTTTTTTTATTTTTATACACATTATTAAGGCAAACAACTAATTATATTAGTTTTAGCAGTCAACAACAAAAATAAAATGTAGCTAAACAAAAATCTATTATTTATGCCTTATATTAAGATAAAAAAGTAAGTGTTAAAGAAACTCTTGAACTTAAATAAAATGTTGCAAAATGTGTGGAATGTAAAAGTGTAAACGTAGAACAATATTCACGGTCGGTTCGATACGACACAGTGGCGTCACGGTTACGTACGTTTTCAATACAGCAGAAAAGAAAGAAATGCCAGAGAAATTTCCTTGATTTTTTAAAATATATATATATATATATATTCATTAAAATATATATATATATATATATTTTAATATAGTGTGAGTTTTCCTACATCTTGAAACTTTTATTGTTATAAATGGGGGTAATATTTGACGGATGAACAAATAATGTTTTGGTCATCACATTAAAAATAACATTTAAATATGATAATATTTGAGTTTTGAAGTGCTGGAAAAAGATGTGTGACGTACTTGAGAGCGTTTTACTATTCCTGCCAAACGTCCATGGTTACAGTGAGTGTTACTGCATTACGCTGATATAATAATAAAGAAAGGCAATAAACAGATTATTGTGCCGATACTAGTGTTAGGGTTATGTTTGTCCTGTATCTGTTTCTCTGAGTTTCCCCCGTTATTGTGTACTTGGTTCAGTCCTGTTCCCAGTTTTCCCGCTCCTCGTTTGTGTTCATGTATACCACCCGTTTTCTTAGTTGATTTGGCCCAGCTGTGTCTTATGTTTCCTCTGTGTTTAAGCCCTGTGGTTTAGTCCAGTCGGGGGGAGTTCTTGGTTTAGGGTTATGCCAGGTTGGTTGTTCTGTTTCCTCGTCATGTTCCCTAGTCTGAGGTTTGTCTAGTTTGAGTTTGCTTAAATAAAGTAAGCTGCGTTTGGATTCTGCTTCCTCCTTGCTTCAACCACCTCTTCGCAACAACTAGTAAAAGTTAATGTTCCCTGTGACGGAAAACACAAGGGTTTACGCTGAAATCAAGGCCACATACACACTGTGTAACCGTATGGATAATGCAGGACTTTTAAGTATAAACAAGCCTGAAATACACCAGGACTCTTATTTTGAAATGCGTATGCTTTCCTACTTCCAGCTGTTCATTCTAAACGATGAGATCAAATATCACATCTATAAACACCACAAAGTAAACATGGTCATAAACTTTTAATGGCCTTCAATTTGAGCATCAAACTGATCAAAAGTGACTGTAAAGACATTTATAATGTTAAAAGATTCTATTTTAAGTAAATGCTGTTCTTTTGAACTTTCTATTCATCAAAGAATCCTGAAAAATAAAATGTATGACGGTTTCCACAAAAATCTGAAGCAGAGCAACTGTTTTCAACACTGATAATAATCATAAATGTGTCTTGAGCATCAGATCCTCATATTAGAGTGATTTCTGAAGGATCATGTGACACTGAAGACTGGAGTAATGATGCTGAAAATTCAGCTTTGATCACAGGAATAAATTACACTTTACTATATATTCACATAGAGAACAGCTGATTTACACTGGAGTAATATTACACTGTTTTACTGTATTTGTGATCAGATAAATGCAGCTTTGGCGTAGTCGGCGAGACTTCTGTCAAAAACATCTTATCGACCCCAAACTTTCAAACGGTAGTGTATATCTGCTTGAAAGACTCCTTTACTTGTAGATGTGCATGCCGGTTTAGAAACCCAAGTGTCTACACACCTTTGTCTCTCTTTTCTTTTGATAGAGAATCCAGCTTCCTCCTGAGTGACTTTTTCCGCTTCTGGCCATCTGGAAGAGACAAAGCACACGAAACATTAGAAATAAAACAGAAACTGCAAAGACAATCAAACCAGTGTCACGTCGGGACGTCTCTTTCCTAGGGCGATGTGTTGGAGTCGGTGTACCTTTAGGGATGGTGATCTGGCAGCCCAAATCAAAGTCTTTGGTCAGTCGGACCAGGGCCACTTCTTGCAGCCGGACTCTCTCCAGCTCCGACAGACTCTGGATGGGAACCGACTGCATGTGGAGGTTATGACCCGTCGCTTTCTTACAGGTAAAATCTCCCTATGAAAGACGCAAAATAGAAAGAGACATTTTGTAACCATAGAGCTTCTTTAACCAGTTAAAGTCTCAATTTTTGAGCGCAGACCTGAAGATTTCCAATGAAATTGTTGTAATTGGGCTTTTTTAGTCCATGGGTTTTTAATGGCAGTATTTGATTTGAATTTACCCTCTAACCCAGTTTGCACTCAAGACATGCATGCAAAGATTCACAAATGGATAATCCATCATATTTCTTTATTTTGAGCACATTTTTAGACCTTTTCTTGAAAAACAACAACGAAAAAAAAAAAAAAATAGAAGTTATATTTTGCTCTCTTGGCCTGAAATCTAACACAGGTTTCTACCAGTCTTTCATTATTGTACATGTGCACCAGTGTTTCAAAATAAAAGTCTTGTTGCTAATTAATACATTTCTGCTGATCTGTCACCAAATATGAAAACTCTTATAGTCTTATAGTCCCCCTGTAGTCAATAATTGTATCCTTTAAAGGGGTCATATAATGGTACATGCACTTTTACAAGTTGATTGCACTGAAATGTGTGTTGGCAGTGTCTGTACACAACAATCATATAATGATAAAAATCCATCCAGTGGTTTTGGTTTAATCTCTTTATATGTTTTCCCCTGCCTCAAATCGAGCCGTTCGACCGTGTGACGTCACTAGATCGGACGCCCCTCCCACGATTGTTGATTGACAGCAGTGTTTCAACACAGACCCGCCCTGAGCGAGCGGTCATCATAGTCCGCTAGTGTTGATACGCTGGAGCAGAATGGCGTCTAAGCGATTGTGGTGTTCTGTTCTTGGGTGTAATAACGAACACAGTCATTTTAATGTTCCTAAATCCGAACCGCTGAAGACGCAGTGGCTGAGTTTAGTTTTCGAAGGGAATATTCCCCACGAGCAACGTCAATGCTCTCATGTTTGCGCGAATCATTTCACACCAGACTGCTTTATAAACGAGGATCAGTGTAAAGCTGGATTTGCTAAGAAGCTGCTCCTGAAAAAAGAATCGGTACCAACTGTTTATGTTCCCTCTGCACCTCCAGAAGAAGTGAGTGTAAAGCCTTATTAACCTTTCTATTAATCTTTGCAAATCGCGAAAAAAAAGGTTTTCCATGACCATTAGTTGTAACGTCAATCTGTCAATGAACTAACGTATACATCAGTAAACACACAGCGTTCGTGTCTCACTTCTCTACCCTGCCAGTATATACAAAAATAGATCAAAGTGACATTACGTTAACCAATCATTCAGAAACGTCCTGTTCGAGCCTTAATTGTCGAACTTCTTCGGGCCGTCATCTTGTTCCGGGCTCGACTCCGGTTCAAACTGATACGGTTGCACAGATGTGTCCTCAGAGACTCCCGCTGCCATTCTCCAAAATATACCCTCAACTAGGGCTGGGCGGTATGACGGTATATATTTATTTATATAAATGGTTTATATATATATATATAGTATACCGCGACATGCAAATAAAGTGGGCGTGGTTAACTCGCGTGCAACGTGCGTGAGACTGAAACACTGCGAATTGTAAAAAGAACCACGGAGAAAGCAGATCAAGAGGATCCACAAAGGAATTACATTTTCTAAAGGGTTGTTGTTGTTGTTAACGTGATATTTTCGGGGGGAAAGGCGCAGCAGTCACTAGAGCAGTGCAGCACCCAGACTACAGATTAGTGCACGCTCGCAACGGGGAAAGCTGGACAACAACAGTTATCAATATCGTAACGAATAGAAATAACCTTAAATAATGTATAGTTATCTGCATCTTTCCGTCTCTTATGTTTAGTTTTTAAACACGCAAACAGCTTGCCGCCCGTGGTAATGAATAACCTGCTTGTTAAAGTGAATGTATAATCCTGTAGCCTATCTGAGGCAAAATTACTAAATATGCATCGCGAGTTAGATATTTCTAACTCCAAACAATTGGCCACCGAACCAGCTGATAAAATCTTCCTTTGATTCGATCCGTGATTACAACTTGACACTCAAATTAACCGATCGCATTTTACTGATGCAGAAGACGCGCGTGTGCACACGCACTGAGGGAGCGCGGTGTTCACCAGGCTATGGTCAAATAATGACGCAGTTACAAGGTGTGTATAATTTAAACTAGGCTACTTCGTCAACACTAACAGTAGCTGCTGTTCGGTTTTCAAACTGCTGCTCTCCTTCTAGTCACTTCTGAACTTCTATTGATTAAAGCGCAGGGTGACGGGTTGCCAGATATCACAAAAAGAGCAAAACAAGCCCCTTAAAAACGCAGAGAAGCCTAAGCAGACATGGCAAAAATGTACCGGGGAACACATTTAAACATAACTAGTATTACTATCCTACAAAATTAAAAGGAAATAACTAATTTATCATGAATAGAATAGTTCAATATAACATATTCAGATATTATAAACTGATTGATGAAGTAAAGCATAACATGAGATTGAAAAATTATTCAGAAACACTTTATTTAAAGTTTAATTGCACCTATAGGCTATGAGTTGTATTTAATATCAATCAGTTGGGGGAAGTTCATCTAAAAGTTGATGAGTGTGTTTTGTTTATATTTAGCTATCTAAATAGTTTACCAAAGAAATCATTTACCAAATAAGAGAAACAGAAAACAATGTGAAGTACTTTTCATTTCTAAAGTATTTGGGTTAATTTATTATACAAAGCCCTTTTTGTCGATTTTTCGAGAATAACTACATATATAAATAACTATATCGTGAAATATATCGTTACCGTGAAATAAAATTAGTAATACCGTGAAATAGAATTTTGGTCATACCGCCCACACCTACCCTCAACTGTTGTCAAGGAAACACTCCACGTGCGTTGTATCAAAACGCCCGCAGAACAGAGGGGCGGAGTCAGCGGAGCTCATTATCATTTAAAGGCATATGCACTGAAACGGCGTGCTGAAAACAGAGCTGTTTTTGACCAGGTAAAATTAGTGTTCTTTTACAATACTAATGAGAATTTTTAATAAAAGTATATTACAAAGTTTTCATTTAGACCCTAAACATTCATATTAACTTGTACAAAAATGGCATTATATGACCCCTTTAAAACTAACCACTGATCACCAAAATGACATTTTCATGCCTTAAAATATCTTGAATGTAACTCGACACCCTTGCCTCATTTATTATGCAATCTTTATTATGAATATGCAAATGAGCCCCACCTCCACTCACTCACTCAGCTCAGAGATCCACTGGTTGACGATCACACGTTGATCTGATTGGTTACAAGGTCGTTTGTGACGTCAGAAACACCAGCGATTTCAAACCGTGTTTTTGAGGCTGTCTTTGGTTCACTGCAGTTTTAAGGAGGAAATACTCAGCAATGCTGTCGACTTATGAACTTACACATGGTGTGTCTTAAAGCGTATTAATAACACCACATAGACACATAAACAACATTAAAATCTAGATTTTCACCACAGGGGGACTTTAAGGCTTTGTAACAGTGGCCGCCCAACAATAATAAAAAATAAATAAATAAAAAAAAACTTTCTGCGACGGGATTCGAACTCGCCTGTGCGAGAGTCCTAACCGCTAGACCACGGGGAAGCTTCAGAAAACCTTAACAACAATCAATTAGTAATATTCGGGCGCCAGACAGGTATAAACCTGCCAAAGAAATGTATTTTATCATCCCGGATAGCTACATAAAAACCACCCGTTACATACTAAAAAGAGAGAATAAAGGAAAACAAAGCCACATGAGAAATTTATATGCAATTTTCTTTGTCTTTTAATGATATATAGGTTTTGAATCACTAAGAAACACAATTCAACTTCAAAAAGTGTAAGGAAGAAAAAGAAAAAATAAACAAGAAAGAAATCCGCACTCTTTACATCAATACAATTAAACTTAAAAAAAATAAAAGATTTAAATTTCGGCACTCTTTAAATATGCGGCAATGTGTGTGCGTAAGAATGGAATGTGCGCGTCTATGAATATAGCAACACTGGCCCACGTTGGCGCACGGGTGGCTAAGAGTGACTCGGGTACATCGGCGCCGTTAGCCCATCTCGCTCCTTTGTTTTTTCCTGTTACACCAAGCCACGGATTTTGGGACTCGGTTTGAGTCCCGTCCCGGAGGGTAACGCCGCTAACCAGCTAGCACCACCTCTCCGCAATCACCGGACACACACTCTTACAAAGATCCACCCGTAAGGACCGCCTCCAAATCAAAACCGTAGCGGCGTCTGGTCAGTTCAACATGCCCTCCCATTCATTACACCTCGCCCCTATACACACCTCCGTTAAAGCTGCCGTCGGCAACATTTTTTTGATCATATTCAGTGAAATCGACACTATAATCCGACAGAACCGAACTCCACCTGGAGCGTTATTTGTTTTGCAAAAATCCACAGCTCCCGGATCATCGGGTCCAATCAGCGCGTGGGGGGGGGGAAGGGGGGGGAGGGGGTGAGATCTGACTGTCAATCACAGATCGGGCACACGCCACCCCTCGCGCACGCTACAATCACATGCACACGCCGGAAGTTCGCGCAGTAACGAAGAGTGATGGCGGATGTATCTCGCTTTCAAAACACTAACAAATCAAGTAAGCTCATTTAGAGTATAAATGACGTTAGCAATTGCAATCTATCGGTAGATTAGCCAGGGCAGCATACCTCCAAATACTCCATGGTGTTGATGGATGCTGATGAGACGGGCGCGCTCACAGATAACCTGGTGCACACGCACTGACGAGCACGAACTCGTGGGAGGGTATCCGTTGATAGTGGGGGAGGGGCATGAGAGTTGTAAACATTCAAAATTTTGCCTAAGTCCACTCAATCTGCCAGACTTGCCGACTGCAGCTTTAACTCCCCTCTCCGCCAATCCTGGCGTAGTTTAGGAGGAGGTGAAGGTAAACAAACAAAGGGGCGGTGCAGAACACATCTCTATTGCCACAGCTTTCAACTGGTATATAGTTTGTCAATATCAGTTAAGGATAGTTAATAAAGCAATACCAAATA